AATTTGCATATAAAATTAATAATATCACATGTTAAAAAAAATATGCATAGTTAATTCACATGCACATAAACGTTAATTTTTGATGTTTTTTATTTGAGGCATTTTGCCTCATCAATTTTATAAACACACAATCATAGGTTCCAAAACCATCAGATTATGATATTCCCTACATTAGTGTAATTTTAGAAACAAAGGATGACGTAAATATTCGTGCTTATGTTTGTAAAAGAACCGATGATGCTAGCACAAGGCCTACCATATTAATGTTTCATGTAAGCTCGTTAGTATTGTGTCTTATACGATAGAAAGTTTTTAACAGAGTTTTTTTTTTATTTCTTTGAATAGGGAAGTGGTGGTAATATGGTATGGTTTGATTCTTAATTTGTTAATCCTGTTGATTCTTCCGATTCATTAGCTTTTCTCATGAAAATTGGATATAGGGCCATAGATTACCAATTGCAGAAAAATTTTATAAGAATTTCAGATGTAATGTTATGCTAGTCTCTTACAGAGGGTGAGCAATCATCGTAATTACAGAATTAAATTAAATAAATTTCCATTTTCAATCAACCTAATTTTATTTGTAGATATGGTAAAAGTGACGGATCTCCTTCTGAAAACGGACTTCGTCTGGATGCGCAGGTTCGTAAACTATTATGAAAGTTTCTATAGAATTTATTATTAACTTTAAGGTTTTATCTAAAAATAGGCAGCATTGGATTATATTAAGCAAGATCACATATTAAAAAATACGAAATTAATAATATATGGACAATCACTTGGCGGATCTGTAGCAATCGATTTGGTGTATAGGAATGAATCTAAAGTTGATGCGCTGATTATTGAAAATACTTTTTTGAGTATTGTAAGTTTATATAATCAACTTTATTCATGCAATTTATATCATCACTCATTAACCAATATTGAAATTTAATGAATCAATAGCCAAAAGTGATTCCTCACATAATCCCAAAACTTCGTTATTTAACCTTCATCTGTTCTGAAATTTGGCCATCTGATAGTTATATAGCAAAGCTTCGAACAGTTCCAATTTTATTTCTTTCAGGTTCAAATGATGAACTTGTTCCACCTCAACATATGAGAACTTTATATGAATTGACCAATACTAGCGGTGGAAAAATGTTTCAGGAAATAACGAATGGGTCGCATTACGATACTGTTTCACAACCAGAGTATTTTTCAAAAATTGGAGAGTTTTTTATAAAAATGTTGGGTGAAGAATTCTGTTAGATGTGCTTATATGGGGTTAATGAATATTATACTTCAGTACTATCGTAAAATGGTGATATAAAAGAGTGGCAGTTTGGATGCTACTAATAAAAATAATTTCATAATAATTTTATAATAATGAATAGAAACTTTATTAGTTTACACATAGTGTTTATAAACAAGTATAATTTATTGAATTATAAATTCATGTAACACTCAAATCAAAATAACTTTTACAAACGAAAAATTAAACCCTTGCTTATGGTTAGGGTAAGAGTGGGTTTGAGATTGGGCAGGATATAGCATATACCAAAATTTTACAAGGAATTTTTTTTATTAGAAGCAAAAAGGTGGTTTCATAATCAAAATTTTTGAGATATCTATATTGCCCGTGTACATACACCTCGTGTACAAATAGAAATTGCCTAATGAATATAATTTTTTTAAGAAATTTATTTATTATGCATAAAAAATATACATTATTAACTTGTATCAAAAAAAAAAAAAGTACCTTTGTGTGAAACTATGTTTGCTAAGTTTCTAAAAACATATCTTTAATAATGGGATAAACTTTTTTTCTCGACATTTTAATATCTTTTTGTTCATAATATTTAATTATACCTTCTTCCTCTTTTTCTCTATCACCTTTTCCACTCTCAAAATCTTTAATCTCATTCAATCCAATAATCTCTTCAAACCTTTCTAAAACTTCCCTTTGACAAAATGGTCCTTTCTTTGAATAAATTAGCATCTCTCTTTTAAATCTTACATCACCTTTATGATCAAATGCTAGCATAATAATTTCCAAATCTAATTTTTTTTCCTGAATATAATTTCCAACTGCTTCTATAAACTTCTCAACACCACCTTCACGAAGAATCCAATCTTTTAATGTCCATACCACAGAACTAATTCCCATAGCACAAATTTTTGTTTCATTTTTTGTGGTCCATTCTAAATTATATTCCTTATAATCCTTCCGCAACAAATCAAAATTCGAGAGATGAGTAATGTCAAATTTAGCATTTTGAATCTCATTATAATAATCTTTAATAAATGTTTTTGGATCTGAAGGATGTAAGATATCCAACAAGAAATCTACAGCTTCTTGATCTTTTTGAGTTGTTCTGCCTTGTGAGAAGTCTAATAGTGCAGTATCAACCAAAATTGCAGATAATAATAAATTGGCAATTATTTTATTCCAATTTTGTGTATCTTTAAACTTCAAAACCACTAATGATGTGGCGGATCCAACTCCTTCAATATACCGTTCCCTAATATTAAGATACAGACCTTCATCTTGATGATGGTCTAAAATTGTATCAACTTTATCCATAAACTGGTCCCAAATACCTATCAATTTATTATGATCTAGAAGGATTAAGCTGAGATTATATGTTTTTGAAATAATTGAAAGATGGTCAGAAATTTCATCCAAAAAGATTAGAGAAGCGATAGAAATTTCATATTTGTGAAAAACAAAATTGCATTCTGGGCGTAATGAAAAATCAGATCTTGGAATTTGAATAATTTGAAGGTACATAGTATCAGAAGGACAAGATTGAGTGCTTAGATATGCATAAGATATTGATCCCACAATTGAATCTAAATCTACAAGAAAAACAAAAAATATTTAAGATTCATAATTTGGTTCTGTACACAATTCATATTTTAAATATTAAATATTGCAAACCAGCAGATTCATTTCCAAGAACAAAAAAAACTTGTTTGATTGGGTTATCTTGAACTTTTTTTACTGCATGATTAACTAAGGACTCTAGTTTACTAGAAAATTCAATAGGTATCGTTGACATCCTCTATGAAAACAGTAAAAAAAAAAAACAGGAGCAAAGTGAATTTTATTCATATATACATTAATAAGAAAAATTTTGGAAACTTAAGGCCGTATGACCAATAAATTTAATTCGGACTATCGTAAATCAATTAACACCTAGATTTAGATTACCTTTTCTTAAGAATTTGTGGTAAATGACAATTATTAAGCATATACTGTATACGTAAACAATGTTCACAGAATCACGTACTACTATAATGCATATACTGTATACGTAAACAATGTTCACAGAATCACGTACTACTATAATTGAATGTCTAATCTCGATATAGCCAATTTAACTTTTTATCGTTAGTGAATTACATAACCTACGTTTCACAACATTTCGTTGCCAGACATTTATGTGCGTATGTACGACGTTAGGGTGTTCATTGTTTAGGGTCGCTGATAAAAATTTTACGACAGGGTGAAACCCGCGCTGTGAATTAGTAAAATCTGCTACGTAGATCACATGAGAGTGAAATTCGCTTTTTGCATAATAAAAAACATAGCTAAGCGCGGATTTCACCCTAACGTGATCTACGTAGCGGATTTTACTAATTTGAATCAGAAAAAAAGAAATAATTAGTGAATACACTTTGAGAGAATACCACTTTGACTTCTCTATGTTTTAAATGTATAATTTAGGTCAGAAAAAAAATTCTTTGCAGATGCATTTTGAAAGAACACCACACTGATTACTCTAAACCTTGAAGAGAATGATCTTGAATCAAGAGAGAAATTATTAGTGAATATACTCTGCAAGAATATCAACTAACTTTTTTAAACCTTGAACATAGTACTTCACAAGAATACTATACTGATTTCACTGAATATTGAACATAATAAGCTTAAATCAAAAAGAGAGAAAGAACATTACCCTAACTCTTCTAAATATTGAACATAATAAATTTGGATTAAAAGGTAAACTATTATGAATGTACTTTAGACTTGGTTATTGTTAATGAATATAATTAAAGCATATCTGCTAATCTGTGTAATACTGTAATACCCTAAATTGATTTAATAGTAGATCATATATAATTTAAGACAAAACGTAACACAGAGACTGATAGACTACCAAAATTTAATAAGCGCATAGCTTATACTTGAAAGAACTTATATACAAAATAATCAGTGGTTTGGCGAAATAATCAGTTCACTTACTTATAGCAAGTCTTCAAGTAGCGGTCTTTAAAGTATGCTTATTCTGAAATGTAGAAGTTCAACTAACGACTCGAACAGCTAGTAATTTTTGCTATTTCAATTTTAACTATCGTTCAAGTTCATACTATTAAGTTTATAACACTTACTATTACTATATGTCTTTTATTTTATTTGCGCTAATTTAGTTACAGTTGTTGCTCACTTTCCCGAAGTCCGTTTTTCTGAAATACCCTTTCACCAAAGTCGTAATACTGACAATCCATTTTATTAATGGGACAGAAATAGGTCTGTGTCATTTCACCGAATATTTCAGTGACAGTTTATTTAACCGGTTTCACCGACAAAGTAATTCTGACCATTGTCATTAAAGTCAGATTTAGAATTAGAATTAAGGTTAGTGAAATTTTTAAAAAAACCTGTCGGTGAAATGAGTGTCAGTAAAATAATTGTTAGTAAAATAAACTTATCGGTTATTTGATTTTTGGCGAAATGGCACAGACCTATTTCTGTCCTGCTAGTAAATAGATTTTTGGCATTACGATTTCTTACGATTTCGGTAAAATGGTGTTTCTAAAAAATGTATTTCGGGAAGTTAAACCGTAACCTTTAGTTACGTAGCAGTTTGATTAGTGTATTCTGTTCAAGTTCGTAATATTTACAGTAACCACCATATTATGCCTACCATTTTATTCGTGCAAATTTAGAGTGCTCTCAAGCACCAAATCAAAAGGTCGGATCTAATTATACTATTCAAGTTCGTAATATTTACAGTAGCCACCATATTATACCTACCATTTTATTCGTGCAAATTTAGAGTGCTCTCAAGCACCAAATTAAAAGATCAGATCTAATTATATTATTTCATTTACAGTAGCCACCATATTATACCTATTTTATTTGTGCAAATTTAGAGTGCTCTCAAGCACCAAATTAATAGATCGGAGACCAATCTTTAATTAGTGGATGATAGCTTAGCCAGCCAAATAAGTTCATTATTGTGATAAAAAAAATGATTAAACCCATTTTTTTTATCATAGAGTTATGCTTAACACCAAGCTTTGGACTCTTAAACGTTGGACTCAATCTTTGAAAAATATAAATTTACAAGTTCAGTTTCTGATTTTCTCTTGGTATCACTCCAATATTTGAAAAGTTCGATTTTAATTTTTTTTTTTTAAGCATATGACCACAATTATGATAGTATTTATTTAATTGCAAACGAATGCAAAGTATTAATTTTTATTAATATGCCCAAGTTTTATGTGCTTGTTTAATTTTTAGTAACCCTTTATCATATAGTTTTAGTGTGAAACTGGGATATAAAACATGCTATTTCTGAATTTTCTTCATGGTCATTTAATACCTCCACCAATAATTCGGCTTTAATTAGAGTTTGGAACCGGTTTTATTTTTAATATGTTAAAACCGGTTTTATCATATTAAAACCGGTTTTAACATATGAAAAATAAAACCGGTTCCAAACACTAGCTTTAATTCTTGATAATAAATTTAATTTTATGAAATAGGATCATATTTCTATTTTTTAAAAAATTATAAATTTTACTTACAAAAGTAGGGCGTGGGTGTGATTAATAGTATGCGGATATATATTTATTCATATATTTTATATTATTAATTCTTATTCATTATGTAGTTATTGATCACAATCTCAAATATTCAGATCAAATATTTGATCGATCATATATTAAATATGTATTCGTACGTCTAAGTATACTTTTTTCTTTTTTTAATGCTATACGTACCAACTTATACTACCATATTGTACTAATTTACTATATACCCCTTCAAATAAAAGTACAGTACATACATTTTAGCTAGTTCTGTAGTTATCGCGTTTTTGGGTTGTGTCATGTGATATATTGTTATGATTTTGGTGGCCTAAATCTAATGATTCTGATTGGTTTATTATAATTTAAGGATCTACAAAAAGGCCCAATTCCACAAATTAGCCAATATGGTTATAAAAGTTTGCAAGCAGCATATTGAATATATATTGTTT